ACCTAGGACAGCTTTCTTAACCCTCAAAATCAACAGCTTTCTTAACCCTGTTTGTCTGTGGACAAAACCTCAAAAGGTTCTTGGAGATGCTGGGGATTGAACCCAAGACCTCATACATGCAAAGCAAGCGCTCAACCACTGAGCTACATCCCCAGTTGAAAGGGTAATATTTTTCTTTTTATTCCGCCTTTTTACTGTGGTAGACAGAACATCAAAATGTTTATGTCAATTCTGATTGTGCAGAAAAGGCAAACATATTTTAGTGAACGATTCAAGACAATTGATGACGCTGCAACTGAACCTAGGACAGCTTTCTTAACCCTCAAAATCAACAGCTTTCTTAACCCTGTTTGTCTGTGGACAAAACCTCAAAAAGTTCTTGGAGATGCTGGGGATTGAACCCAGGACCTCATACATGCATAGCATGCGCTCTACCACTGAGCTACATCCCGAGTTGAAAGGGGAATATTTATCTTTTTTTTTTTCGCCTTTTTACTGTGGTGGACAGAACGTCAAAATGTTAATGTCAATTCTGATTGTGCAGAAAAGGCAAACATATTTTAGTGAATGATTCAAGACAATTGAAGATGCTGCAACTGAACCTAGGACCATACACCGTTTTCTTAACCCTGTTCATCGTCTATGGACAGAACCTCAAAAGGCTCTTGGAGATGCTGGGGATTGAACCCAGGACCTCACACATGCAAAGCATGCGCTCTACCACTGAGCTACATCCCCAGTTGAAAGGGGAATATTTTTCTTTTTTTTCGCCTTTTTACTGTGGTGGACAGAATGTCAAAATGTTTATGTCAATTCTGATTGTGCAGAAAAGGCAAACATATTTTAGTGGACGATTCAAGACAATTGAATACGCTGCAACTGAACCTAGAACCATAAACCGCTTTCTTAACCCTGTTTATTGTCTGTGGACAATACCTTGAAAGGCTCTTGGAGATGCTGGGGATTGAACCCTGGACCTCATACATGCAAAGCATGCGCTCTACTACTGAGCTACATCCCCCTGTGAAAACATACATTTTTTTTTTGTTTTCCCCCTTCTTAGGGTTGTGGACGGAACCTCAAAACGATTAAGTCAATTCTGATTGTGCGGAAAAGGCAAAGATATTTTAGTGAATGATTCAAGACAATTGTAGACGCTGCAACTGAACCTAGGACAATCAAAATCTTTTTTTACCCTGTTTGTCTGTGGACAAAACCTCAAAAGGTTCTTGGAGATGCTGGGGATTGAACCCAGGACCTCATAAATGCAAAGCATGCGCTCTACCACTGAGCTACATCCCCAGTTGAAAGTTCAGTATTTTTCTTTTTATTCCGCCTTTTTACTGTGGTGGACGGAACGTCAAAATGTTTATGTCAATTCTGATTGTGCAGAAAAGGCAAACATATTTTAGTGAATAATTCAAGACAATTGTAGACGCTGCAACTGAACCTAGGACAATCAAAATCTTTCTTTACTCTGTTTGTCTGTGGACAAAACCTCAAAAGGTTCTTGGAGATGCTGGGGATTGAACCCAGGACCTCATACATGCAAAGCATGCGCTCTACCACTGAGCTACATCCCCAGTTGAAAGTTGAATAATTTTCTTTTTAATCCGCCTTTTTACTGTGGTGGACGGAACGTCAAAATGTTTATGTCAATTCTGATTGTGCAGAAAAGGCAAACATATTTTAGTGAATGATTCAAGACAAACGGTGACACTGCAACTAAACCCAGGACCATACACCGCTTTCTTAACCCTGTTTATCGTCTGTGAACAGAATCTCAAAAGGCTCTTGGAGATGCTGGGGATTGAACCCAGGACCTCATACATGCGAAGCATGCGCTTTACCACTGAGCTACATCCCCAGTTGAAAGTTGAATATTTTTCTTTTTTTTTCGCCTTTTTACTGTGGTGGACGGAACGTCAAAATGTTAATGTCAATTCTGATTGTGCAGAAAAGGCAAACATATTTTAGTGAATGATTCAAGACAAACGGTGACACTGCAACTAAACCCAGGACCATACACCGCTTTCTCAACCCTGTTCATCGTCTATGGACAGAACCTCAAAAGGCTCTTGGAGATGCTGGGGATTGAACCCAGGACCTCATACATGCAAAGCATGCGCTCTACCACTGAGCTACATCCCCAGTTGAAAGTGTAATATTTTTCTTTTTTTTTCACCTTTTTACAGTGGTGGACAGAATGTCAAAATGTTTATGTCAATTCTGATTGTGCAGAAAAGGCAAACATATTTTAGTGAATGATTCAAGACAAACGGTGACACTGCAACTAAACCCAGGACCATACACCGCTTTCTCAACCCTGTTTATCGTCTGTGAACAAAACCTCAAAAGGTTCTTGGAGATGCTGGGGATTGAACCCAGGGCCTCATACATGGAAAGCATGCCCTCTACCACTGAGCTACATCCCCAGTTGAAAGTTGAATAATTTTCTTTTTATTCCGCCTTTTTACTGTGGTGGACAAAATGTCAAAAT